TCCCTTAATTAAATGGCATCATCTGCATGATACAAACACTAGTGCAAACACCTAAGACGTAATGTGTAAACTACCGATTATGACTTAAAATTACAAAGCGTGCAAATTAATCAATAAACCAAGAGACGGATTGAGATACTTACAGCCTTGCAAGCTAAACATTTGACTGCTTCAGAGTTTGCCTGCAGACCAGCTTTTACATATGGCTGAAAATTTTCAAAAACATAGACTTCATGGAATCAGGCACAAGCATCATTCTATGAGATAACCTGAACTATTCAGCACTGTGGAAAAAGAATATCCCACGTTCAGTAGGATATTTCAATTAATCTTTTGTTGTTTTCATTGCATCAAGTAACTTATTTGGGCTTTTTTTAGAAAAAATGGTATGGGACAATGAAGTAACTACATGTCTCTTGAGAAAAAAAAAAGTTCCTAAGACTCTAGACTAACCCGTAGGATCATGTTTGCACGGTAGAAATCTAAGCTTCCTGTCACATCCCAAGTTCACTAACATTCCTGAGGTGAGACGGACTATTCTTATACTATATATATATATATATAGAACAAATTCAAATTCTTACTTACCAAAACAGATTTTTTCCATTTCTTTTAACCTGTGCAAAGTCTATTCACAACAAATATTATACATGAAGGCTAAGTATATACATTTCTTGATAGAACAAAAATTACAATGGTGCAGATAAAGGGAATGGTGACGTTCAATTAAAAGTTGTGAGGGAGGACACAAAAGTGTTGAGAGAGAGAGAAAACATACACATGCAATCCATCAAAGCTCAGCACCCATACTCATCCTTCTACAAAAACGACATCTCCACATGAAAATAAATAGGAGAAAAAGATATTTATGCAAAATACTACACCTCATAGTGCATAGGTGTCCACGATACATGAAATAGAGGGTGGCTAGCATACACATCCTGATGGATGTGTCAAGAGGTCAACAAACCTAATTAATAACCTGCCACGTTAAACAAACAATGCCCTGTAAAAGCATGAGTTCTAAGATGGTTAAAAAAATGACCGATAGGTAAGTGATCTCATTCTCCTGAAAAATAATCTGCTTTTAATAAAATTGTAATATCTCTTTCTGATTCATCTTTCCCATCTGAAGTATAACCATCGTCACTGTAAAAAAAGAAAAAAAGAAAAGCCTTCTTAAATAAGATTCTTCATCCACAAAAGCAGACCTTAGAAGTCCCATTATAGAAAGCCCATTGGTGGGG